GGCCTCTTCCCAAGGCCCATCTGTGGTCCATCCTCCCAAGACAAACCTGCCACTGATGTGAGCACCCCCAAGCCTGAGGTGTGGTCAAGGGACGGCCATCTGAGGGGACCGGTGTAGATCCAGCTTGGCCTGGAAGGCTGGTGTTTCTGCTCAAGGCCCTTGCTGTTATGGATACAGCCCAGGCTGGGAAGAGAAGGCCGGGGGTGGGGGTGCTGGGGCTTCCCTCTGTACCTTGATCCAGACACCTCCAAGTATAAAGGGTAGGCCTTGTGGGGAGCTAGGCCCAGGACTGGACATGGCAACCCTCAAGCACTCTGCCTCCCAAAGACCGCACGAAGCTGTCAGGGGCAAGGGGCATTCTGGGCCTGGGACTCTGTCCAGCCTCAAATCCCGTCAGGCTCCTGGCCCCTTAGCCCTGCCATGGGATCCAAGTCTGCCGGGAATTCCAAGTCTGAGCCCTGGAGCCTGCCATCAACCCAAACATGGCGCATAGAGGATGTGAATCTAGAGTTAGTCTGGAAGCCCTGGGCCATTGCTGGAAAAACTTGAGACTCAGAAACCATCAGGCCTGGGTTCCAATCCCTGCTCCATCTGGTACTGGGTGTGCAACACTGGAAAATCTGGGGGGTCTCTCTGAGTCTTAGTTTCCATTCTTTGGGAAGCTGGAGATAAAACTTGCCTGCCAGGGGTGTTTTTAGGATCAAATGTAATCATGGCTTTGAATCCTCCCTGTACCCAAAGCCTATACGCCTGCCCTTGGCCAGTCCCAGGGAAGTGTTTGTTGAATGAACAATTTTGAAAGGCAATCTGGAAAGTGGGGCCAAGAAAGCCGTACATCTCTGCCCAGCCTCCAGCTCCCGAATCCCTCCCTCCAAGCAGCTGCAGTCCCTTCCTGGGGTGGGAACCCCCTGCCACAGCTCAGAGCCCCTCCCAAGCCGCAGGGGGCCCAGACGCATGTTCGGAGGGGGCATTATCTGTGCTCAGTTGACTGTAAACGTTTAAGCGGAATTGACTGTGTACTCAGCCACTTTCAAACACAACTAATCTTCATCGGGGCGACGGGAAGTGAAATATGTTATTGTCGGCAGCAGTAAATTACCCGTGCCAGAGCTGGCTCGTGAGGCATTACGGGCCTTGGCCAGCACACTCCTTCACCCGGCCGCCACCCACCCTCAATCCATTACCACAAACTGCCCTGGTCACCTCCTCCCAGGGCCCAGGGGTGTGAGGCCAGCTGCCAGCTGCCCAGGCCTGGCCCCCACCCACCCGGGGCAGCATAATGAGAAGGGTGGGGTAGGGCCTGGCTTTGTGCCCATCTAGCCTCTCAGATGCCTGGCAGGAGACATGAGACCTTTGCCCAGTGGGCTCTTAGAAGATTGGGAGAATAAGGCCCCATCAGGAAAAGGGATTTGGTCCAAGGCCTTCTGAGCTGCAGTTTCTGCATCTGTAAAATGGGGGCTTCATTCATTGTTTTACGGTTTTGCAAATCTCTTCAATGTCTGGCTTAACAGAAGGCAGTTGGATTCTCACATCTGCTTCGGCATTCAATCTATTGCAACACGGTGTTGTAGCTGAAGTATATAAAGACTATCTGGCCTCTCACACAGATACGCAGCTAGAAAAGGGAAGAGTATTTTAATAGCCCTCAGAGATCATTATGGATATTGTTCTTTGATACTAAACTCAAAACTGCCCCTGCAGTGGCTTGCTAAGGGTCAGCAGACTGGCTCCTGAAACCACATCAACTAACTCACACTCTGTTCATGAAAACCCATCAGTCTATTTTGCACTGAGAATGGACCTTCTTCTCATCTTGTAACACATTATGTACTGGCCATTGGGAAAATATTAATTTCCTCAGTTATGCAGCTCTTCCAAATGTTGACATATTTCATTATACAATATCAAAAAAAAGTCACATTTGCTAGTATTACCACCAGTCTCTTCAGGAAAGTCTTTCAGGAGGAAGCTGTCAAACCCACAGTGGCAGGTACAAGTTCTCCAGAATTCTAATTTTTGCCTGAAAGTCAGATTTTATCATTGGTAACAAACACTGTCAGTTGACAGGCAACTTTGTTCACTTTCAAGAAAATATCTGCCAAATAGCCACACCTGAAAGGCTAGTCTGACGGTCGTTATTTCAAGTAAAAACGGTGTTCAGTGGGCAAAGAGGCTGGCGCAGCTCGCCACCAGTCACATGGTGCTTCTGGAGCAAGGGGATGGCGATGGCCTTTATGTATGTACTTCCTGTCTATTACACAGAATATTTAAAAGATGAGCAGTCAAAGAGGGAGATTTTTTTTAAACATTAATAATTCTCACTTTTCAGCAGGAACACGCTTAAGTGAAACTGCTTTTTAAAATTTTTAATTGAGAGGGGGTTTGGGGAAAGAACCCAATAATCTCTATTACGGTTTGGTACCATTGCTGTGATTCATACTACGAGACCAGCAGTTTACCCACCCACTGCGTTTACACCATCAGTGCAAATGCCAACACGTGAAAAAGGCAAATAATGTCTTCGTGTTATTAGGAAAAAGGTTTTGATCTCACAGGCACCCCTGGTCAATGCCCCAGAGCCAGCAGGGGTGTTGGAAGACATGGATGAAGTCTGATGGCTGAAAAATCCCTACTGAATACTCCACGTCATCAGGTACCATCAACCCACCCTTACCATCTGGAGCCTCCTCCTCATTCCTGGGGGCAAATGACCCCCATCCCTATGCCCAGATCCTCTCCCAATCCCAACTCTGACTGAGGCTGCTGAAGAAAACCCTGGGGCTCTTTCAAAGCCCAGCTCAAACTCACGTTCTTCCAGAAGCCTTCTAGAATATAAGCCCTCGGCGGGGATCATGTTTCCCCCCTCCTAACCTCCTGTCCCCTCAGCACTCCCTTCCAGCCTCAGCTCGTCCCCAGTACTCAGTCTGACACAATAAGCCCTCAACAGACCCAGGCTGATCTAAAGGAATGAGATGGAAAGCGTGGCTCGGCCAATGTCTGGGGCTGATTAGTGGCACTGGCTAACAGTGCTGAGCAGGCCAGAGTATTCTGGGAGATCCTGCTATGAACCCCAGAACATAGGTGTATCCCCAAAAGCTGAGCACGAAGGACCAGCACCCTGTACGGACAGGGATGGGTAGGGCCTGGAGGAGAGGAAGGAGTCGCAAGTTCTCTGAGGGGTTAAGTTTCCTGACCTAGACAAAACTGTGACCTTGAGGAAAATCAGGGTATTTCTTGCTTTGGCAAGTCACTAACCTCTCTTGAGCCTCAGTTTCCTTATCTGTCAAAGGAAGAGTTTGGACCTAAAGATTCCTTACAGCTCCTAAATTCTGCGTCAATGATATTCACATGCTAACAGTCCATGATGTTGATGGTCCAACTTCCTAAGAGAGGAACATCCACGCTTACGGGTCCACTGACTTTTGAATGTAACATGATCCTGACATTCAAATGTTCTATGACATCATCCAGTGACACTGACATCAAACAGTCTATAAGGCTAACATGTGAAAAGGTCCAATATGCTGACATTCAAACATGCTGTTGCTGACATCAAGGACACCCTGGGAAACCTAGGAGTCCATAAACCATCCCTTCTCAGACCTTTCTTCTCCAGGAATCTAGACCCCCACGATGGTACCCAGAGAGTGAGTGGCTTAGGGAGACTTTACCTGTGCCCATCCCCCACAGTCCATTCTCTTATATGAAGGATGGATGTCATCTCAAGTAATGCAAATACAACTTTAATACAAGTCCTAGGGCCCTTCTTCCAACCAGATTCTGCCCCCCCAGAAGTTCAAACCATCAATCCTGTAGCCCCAGTTCTGCTAGATTTCCCTGATCCCTACTTTCTACCCAGGGCCTTGCCAGCTAGGACATACTGGTGAGAGGGCACTGAGGAGAAATCAAGGCTCAGAGAAGGACCCACAAAGGGCTGTGGGAGGAAGGCCCTGGGACTGTGGCTCAGCCCTCTCTCCTGCCCCCTCATCCCTCCGGCTGTGGCTGGGGGCTCCTGGGGGCTTCAGGAGCAGTCACCACTGCTCACTCCAGGCTGCTACCTAGACAAAGGTTCCAGGCCCCGGACTGGCTTGCCTCTCCTGCCTCTCTTTAAAAAAGAAAAGAAATTCCTGCAAGTTGAACAATCCTTGTGTTGGATTTGGGAGATGTTATTCCTAGTGACAGACAAGGGCAATTATCTGCAATCCGCCAGCAGTTTTAGCCTAATTTCATTACTGCTGTGCAATTCTCCCTGAGCTGCTAGTCTATCAATGTCTTGCAGAACGGATTAGCGGGCACTTTCTTCATCTTCAAATGAATTTTAGCTGTCATGCCCTTGATGAATAGAGCAGGGACAGGCAGCTGACCTGGGCCTGGGAGTGGCCAGGGGCAGCAGGCAGGTGGCTTCAGGGCCAGGAAGGTGGGGGCAGCCCCATGAAGTGAGGGGAGAGGGAGGCACCTGAGAGATCCAGCCTTCCTGGGCCCCTGAATGCCCAGGCTATAGGGCTGCTTAGACCCACCTACTGGGGTTTTGCACACTGAGCCTGCCATCCACGGACAGGTTCTCAGGTCCTGGGATGAGCATACAGGGTGGGAGTTCCTTCCAGACTGATGCCAGGGCCCCCAGCATGCAGTCCTCTGAGACATCCCCACCATAGCACCCAAAACCCTGGAAACCCCAGCTTCAAGCTTGCCTCCCTGAGACACAGTGGACCCCACAAGAACAGAGTCGGGTGCTGTCTTGTCACCGCCATGTCCCCAGAGCTTGTAGGAGATGCTCCGTCAGTTTTCACTGTAGGACAAATGAATCTCAGTTTCGCTGCAGTTTGCAGTCGGGGCCTGGCACGGGCTTGGCACATAACAGGAGCCCAGTCACTGGGAGATGAATGGGTGATGGCACTGGGCTTATTTGAAAGGGGATGGGGAGGGGAAGGAGGTGAATGCACTATGGAACACCTACTATGTGTCAAGCACTGTGCTGACGCAGCCTGTTTCATCGCAGAGAGGTGAACCCACTAAGCCCAGGACACAAGCTAGCAGGGAACCAGAGAACCCAGGCCTGTCCGGCCATCCTCTACAGCTTCCAACGAGCATTCTGCTTTGGGAGCACCAGATTTGAAGCGAGATCCTTAGGAGCAGGGTGAGCCCAGTGGAGAGAGGTCACATGGGGCCTGGTGTGGCAACATGGGGTGAAGACCAGGTCTGCTTCGGATCCCCTGGGCCCCACCCTACCCAGAAGCCTCCTCTTCCCCTCTAAACTTTTCCAAATTCCTGGGAAGAGGGCTGTGTGGGTTTTGTCTTTTTTCCACCTGTCCCCATTTCTCTGCCTGGCTCTGTGCCCTGGGAAGCTGTTCTCCACAGGCTTTTCCACCCTCTGGCTTCCAGGAGGGATCATCTGATGGGGGATGGGAGGGGTGGGAGAAGGGAGAGGGTGGGGTACCTCTGCCCTGCTCCGCCTGCCTCCCCCAACTACTGGGCTCTGGTAGCTCCATTTATGCCCCTTGATGTCTAAGTCCCTCCTGTTTCCAGGCCCTGAAGGTCTCAATGTCTCTGGCTGGCTTGCGCTTCTCTATACAGAACCGTGCTGGCAGCGTGCTGCCGGCGTGCTGGCAGATGCGCACGGAGTGGGAATCGGAGTTCACTGTGCAACAGCAGCTACCATTCACCCACACCTGCCCTGCTGGAATGGCGGGGAGCCAGGGTTTGATCTGAATTTTGTCTACCTGACCCCCAGCCCTATCCTCTTGACCCCCAATCTGCACACACTCGGCTCTGCCCCAGCTAGAAGCCAGAGCCAGCGGAGAGCTCTTGCTGTACACTGACGACTCTTTGGAAAGACCGGGTATTTCCCCACAACCTCGAAAGGCGGACATGGTGAGTCTTACACTTCCCTGGCCCCAGCAGGCTTCCACACCAGCAAAGGGAAGTCAAGCCCAAGAGAAGAGTAGTTTCCTCGACAGCAGCCACTCCACCAGCCCCTGCATCCCCAGAGAGCGTGGGAGCGGAAGCCCAGCCCCCATTCTACATGTAGGGAAACCGAGGCGCAGAGAGGCAAAGGGACTTGCTCAAAGCCGACAAGGTATCATGCAGAGCTGGGTTTCAACCCAGGGAGCCGAGTGGCCTTCTCCAGGGCTGGGAAGGAAGTCTCAGACCTGCCAGAGCTGGCCTTCCTTCCCCACTTTCAAGTTCTGGTCCTTTCTCCAGGCGCCCAGGAGCGTCTCCCAAGTTTATTGATGGCCAGGGCAGCCTCGAGTCAATATGGTGCACTTTGCTAATTAATCTTTTCCAGGTAATTGCAGGAAATTGGTTGGTGTGCAGCGGGGGTGGAGAGGTCACCTCTGCTCCCCCGACTCCCAGAGTGGCTTCTGGCAGAGCCCGGGACACCAACCTTGACCCTCTGCGTGGCCTCCTGCCCCTTACTTGCCTCTCTCTGTCTTGAACCCGGTGCACACGAGCCCTGTTCCCTCCTGTTCCCTACCTAGCCCCCTTCCAGAGTCCTCAGCCCAGGAACCCCACCAAGCCAGCTCTCCCGGTGTTGCTCCGGCATGCAGGGGGAAACACAGGGAGCAGGGATGGTGCTGGGTTCAAATTCCGACCTTGGCAGTTATGAGCTGTGCAATCTTGGGCGAACTGTTTAACTCCTAAGCCTCAGCTGAAAAACAAAACAGTTCATGATCTCTGCATCACAGGCCACTTCTAAAGATGAAACAAAAGGGGCCATTTTAATACTGCCCTATTATGACCTCTACGACCTATAATGACTCCAACAGCAACAGCCAGCACTGACTGGGGCTTTGCCACGTTCCGGGTAATGTTCAGTGTCTGATGGGTGCTGTTATTATCCCCAATTTACAGAAAGGGAAGCTGAGGCCCCAAGTGGCGGTCAGACAGCGAGGGGCTGGGACCGAATCCTTGCTCAGCACCTGGGATGCAGATCTCTGCCTCATACAGTGTCATCAAGCCCAGCAGAGTGCCTGGCATAGAGCCGTGTCACCAGGAGCCTCCACATGCTCACCTAAGAAGCCAGGGGACACTAGCTCAGGGTGGGGAGGCGATGGGGGTGGGATGCCAAGGGCACCACAGGCCCCAGAGGTACCCACAACCTCCCACTCCAACCCTCCTTACCCGCAAAACCTTGGGCCCACCTCAAAGGGCCTGAGGGAGTCATTGGGCCGGTGTGGCCTTCGGAGGCCCCAGGACCTCCCTTAAGTCCCGTAATAATTAATGAAACCGGATATTCCTGGATAAACTTTCCCAGCCCTTTGGGGTTTCTCTCGTTCTCCCAGATACCATTTAATATATCACCTCATTGGGCTGTATATACCTGTCCCTAATAAACCTCTAAGACTTTAATGAACTAAATAGCAAATTACTTTTTTATTCAAGAATGAAATTTCATCATATTCATAATTCATATTTTATTTCAGACATCTGCTGCTGATTACATTACATTTAACTAAAATTAGATGATGCTCAGAATGCAATTAAGGCTCTGCCAAATTCTTCGGCCCACCAATGCCGGCGGAGCTCAGCGGGGGCCGCGAGGAACCTAATATGTAATTAGGAGCTATTTTCTAGCTGTTTTTAAAGTCTGAAAATTAGCTGCCTTTATTAATCACACAGACAAATATAAAGTGGAACCAACGCTTGCTGAAATTTCTAAAAGGGATTTTTTGTTTAATTATACACCACAGAGCGCTGTGACTCGTTTTGCATGTTGATTTATTGTGCACTGACATTTTGACAACTGGTTCTCAATTTGTCTGTCGTAGTTAGGCAACAACAAAGCCGACGGTAATACTTTAACTTTCAAAACCTTCAGTGTGCCGGGTGGAGGGAGAATGGCATTCCTCGTTGCGGGCCTGTGGCTCGGGCTCTTGAAGCCATGGGGGCCAGAGACCCAGGGAGAAGAGCAGGTGAGGGCTGGAGGGGGCTCAGATGACAAGCTGGGTGGGGAGGTGGCTGGAGCACTGGACCAGGAGTCTGGAGGTTGAGGAGCCATACCCAGCTCTGCAGGGTGGCCAAGAAAGGAAGCCTTCCCCGATCCGGGCCTCAGTTTCCTCCTGGGCACCTATGGGGGTTTGGAGTCAGAGGTCTTTCAGGAGCTTTTATGTGCTGAAACTTTGTCTTCTTTTCTGTGTGCCAGACCCTGGGCTAAGTGTTCTCTATGCGCTACATTTAGCCCCTTGACCCAGCAAAGGGGACCTTTTCTTATCTCACTGTACAGAAGATAAAACTGAGTCTCAGTTGAGACTTGTCACCAGCCAGCAGGTGGCCACCCCAGAACTCAAACTCGGATCTCATTGACTCCAGAATTTATGGTCTAAACTACTATGTTCACCTGCCTGGCTCACAGCCCTAAGCAAGGTTGGCTCTCTGGGCCTTGCTTCCCATTTGTGCAGCTTGGACACAGTGAAGTGGCTTTGTAAGGCCTCAGTCTGATGCTATAGCCAGTTGACGTTGCCCACTAGGTAAGTGACAGCTGTACCCCGAGTCCTGCAGGGGCCAGGGAAGGGGTGCACAGAGGCCATGGCATGGAGCGGGATAGGACCCCTGACTGGGTCCTCAGCCCCTGTGCAACCACTAGGCTCGCTCCAGGCCTCAGAGGCCCTGTGGGCCAACACCACCCAGTGATGTCTGAAGAGTCCCAGGGATGGGAAGGCTGCCAAGGGTCCAGTTCCAGCCCAGCAATGATAATTGTGGACATCGTTTCCCCACGTGCCTCCTGGTGCTGCGTGACTCTTTACTGCCTGCAGTCTCCCACAGATCCCACTAGATGGACTCACAGCCGAGCCTGGAGCCTCACAGCCTGGGTTCAGTCTGCTTTTGCCAGTTCCCAGCTGTGTGGCCTTGGCCAGGCTGCCCCACCTCTCTGAGCCTTGATTTCCACACCATTAAAGTGAGGACCCTGACAGCACCCAGCAATGTGGGCTCTGGCGGGGACCGAACCGGACATGGGTACCCAGCCCAGATGAAGCCTCAGCCAAAGGGAGCCGTGTTACCAACCCACCTGACAGATGGGGCCACTGAGGATCTGCAGGGTGAAGCCCTTGTCCTACGGTGCACACGGCCGAGCTGAGAGCTGCACCCAGGTGGTCTGATTCCACGGCCCACGCTCCCTCCCCAGCACCCTGGGAGGGTGGGAGAAGGGCCTGAGGACCCGCCATGGGGGGTTGGGCTGCCCCATCTGGCCCCCATGGCTATTTTCAGGGGCCCTCAGTGGGCCCTCCTCTCCTGACACTCATTTCCCTGCCGTATGGGAGGGGATACGGAGCAGTCTTTGGTACTCATCACCACAGGGGTCCTCTGCCCCTTGGTGCCCCAAGGCTGGCAGAACCAGCACCTCCCACCTAACAAAACCTGTTTCCAGGAGCCAACCCCACATCCTCCTCCTGCCCCCAGAATCACCTGATGAAAATGCCAACAGAGAAAACGCTTTTTTTTTTCGGTGCCAGTGAAACTGCCAATAACATCTCAAAACACAGGGACCCCCAGTGACAACTTCACCTACTCTGACAGTTTAGATTTGCTGGGAAATGAAAGTGACATCTTCATCTTCTCACATCGACACCGCTTCTTTCTGAGAACAACCCACAGGAAAGGTGGCCCTGGAGACTTCCTTGCCCAGATGCCCGCTGTCAGGGCGGCCGGGGGCGGCCGTGGAGAGGCTGGATGCCCTCACTCTGTCCACTCTTTTGCCCATCCCTGGCTCCCCTCTGAGCATTGGCGTATCCCAGGCTCTGTGCTGGGGCCAGCAGGTGCAGAATTGAAGCAGAAAAACTTCTGCCTGTAAGAGTGCTGTGAGTTCAGTTGTGTCCCTCAGAAAGACGCGGTCAGGCCCTAACCCCTGGCACCTGTGAATATGACCTTATTTAGAAATAGCAGATGTCACCTTAGCAGGTGTCATCAAGTGAAGAGAAGGTTTTAGGAGGGGCCCTAGTTCAGTGTGACTAGTGGCCTTGTAAGAGGAAACGTCATGTGAAGAAAAGACACACAGGGAGAAGACGGCTGTGTGATGACAGAGGTAGAGACCGGAGGGTCACAACTGAGAGCCAAGGAATGCCAAGGGCTGACGCTACCACCGGAAGTTGAAAGAGGCAGGTAAGGATTCTACCCAGAGTCTTAGAGGAAATACAGCCCTGCCGACATCCCGATTTCAAACTCTGCCTCCAGAACCACGAGGGAATACATGTCCTCTGTTTTAAGCTGCCCAATTTAAGGCGCTTTGTTACAGTGGCCCCAGGACACTAACACAAGGGGCGTCCATGCCAGCTAAGAGGCCCTGCCCTTGGCAGCAGGCTACCAAAAAGAGGTGTACCCACCTGCTTCCTGGACAGGGGAGACAAGCTGGCCTCCAAAACTGAAAGGCCCCTCCAGGTCCCTATGTAATCCTCCCATCTGTCACCTCCTCTCCATCCATCCCTAATGCCACTGCCCCCTTCCATCCATCACACCACAGCCAGAAGACTTTCTCAAGCATAATTGTGACCTCGCTTCCATGCCCAATTTCCACCATGGCCCCCCCGGGGCCCTCAGGCTGACCCTCACTTTGCACGGACCCAGGCCCTGCTTCATACAACAGATACCATCTGAATGCTGTACTACGTGTGGCTTCCCTGCACTCTAGCAGTGCTCACCTCAGTGCATTTGCTGCCTGGAATGCCCTCCCTGACCTCCCAGCTCAGTCAAATTCTGCCTGCGCACCTCCTCCTCCTGGAAGCCTTCCCTGACTCCCTTCCCACACTCCAGTTCGGATATGTACCACCCTTCCCTGGGTTCCCATGATAACTTGGAACCTGCTGCTCTTTACTGTCATTGTCAGTTTGCTTCATTAGCTCTGCTCTGTGAGCCCTACAGGGCAGAGACAGGTCTCATTCACACCTGAGACCCCAGTACCCAGCACATAGCTTGAGCTCAGGCAGTACCTGGGCCAGAGAGCCTCTCATGCCTGTGACATTCTGTAAGATTCCCAGAGTCAGGGGAGAGAAACTGGCTCTGGGGTCAGAGGGCTTGGGCTTGAGTCCCACTTACCAGTTGACTGGTCTTGGACATGTTGTTTCCTCTCTCTGAGCCTCAGTTGATCCTTATCTGTGAAATGGGAAGAGCAAGACCTATGATATGGGCCTAATTATAGATTATTAATGGTTATTATCATTATAATGATGATTGATTCACTGTAATTGTAAGATCATCATGTGGACTTTTGTTTCCAAAATCCACGTGTCCTTCAAGACCAGCCTCCCTGACCCATTCCTCAGAATTATGAATCATACAGACACCCTGTAAGAGTGTCCAAATGTTACTGGGCATTGGATTGTAGAATTCCTTAGTTCTTGTGTTCTTGAAGAAAGAATTCAGTCAAGAGACCTGATAGGGGGTTAGAGCCACAGGGCAGGGTGGTTTGTTTAGCACACCTTAATGGCAGGAGTAGCAATCCAAGTCACAGCACCAAACATGTGTGGGTCGAGTTTGTTCTGGGTTCTCCCGCAAAAACAAAGAATTGAAAGACAGAGACACAATAGCAAAGCAGAGGAAAAGTTTTATTCGAATATACTCCAAGGGAGGAGTGGGTGAGAGTCAAAGTACACAAAGGCCCCAAACTTTGAGGGGAGGGTCTATTTGTCATGTCCTAGCTGGGAGACACCTCTTTGATTTACAGGGGTTGGTCTCACTTGTTGACAGTTCTGGTTGTACACCCCTTCCTCTTGTTGTGCATATCTTTTCCCTAAACGTACACAAAATAGCCCATGGTGGGGGGCGAGGAGCAAAACCGCAAGTTTATTTTAAGGAGATTATGATGAGGTGTGGTTTGGGTGGTTCTTAGTTTTGCTTGACTGCACCTTCACTGGGATCTGATTGGGACCTGTTTGGCCTGGTCCCAATAGGCAAGGAAGTTATCTCCCTGCAAAGCCTTTGTGGTCTTCAAGTGGGATCCCCTAACTGGGCAGTTTTTTCCTTGAAGCTTATCTTCCCCTTCCCCAGCTGCTCATGTCTATCTTTCCACCTAATACAAAGATTCTATTTGTCGTTTAATTTTAGTAACTCTTTATATTAACATGTTACCCACCCTCTCAATTGGATGACATCTCCCTTACCAGTACGAACAGTGTCATACTTCAGGGGCTCTTGAGGGGCTTAACAATTGCTGCTTGATTGATTTGACACCTCACAGCCAACTCAGGGCTTAACACAAATCTGGGCACTCAATTTGAGGAGGAAACTGCAGAGTAGATGTTGCAAACTAGATTGGAAGTCAGGCAGACCTATTTCTACCTGGCTTTGCCTCTAACAGGCTGTGAGACTGAGAGCCAGCCATTTCACTTCTCTGAGCCTCAG